AATGCGGAGCACATCAGAAAGGTTGGAGATGCTGTAATTAGTCTTGAGGGTTAAGTCGTAAATGTAGCTACAGTTTATTACTTTGATGCAGCCATAAACTAAAGAAATAAACCATCAACTTCAGATTGGGACACAGAACACAGATTGTGGCCATTCCCATTCATTGATGACTTCTAGCTAATCAGCTAATTGAACGTGAGATGCTAAATTCTTGTTAAGTATGTAAGAATAAAAAACATCCTATCTTCAGTTATGCTATTTGGAGGTTTAGGCATGCCTACTCTATGACAAAAGGGGAGGCCAATTTTGGGTTTGAAGGTAATTTCTAATCTTCTAGATTTAAGCCCTTTGTTCCACCCTTTCCACCAGAAATCCTCCTTGGCTCTCCTGGAAGTGACTTTCATTAAGATGGTTTTAAAAAGAAGAAAACAATGTTCCAGCAAACTGCAGAGTCTACACCGTGGAGTTGATCCTGTCCACCCCTGATATTTCAAAGAAAGCCTTGGAGAAATACCAAGTTCAGACTTAACAAATACAGGAAAAAACCACATGATCATCTCAACAGATACCAAAAAAGTCATTTGAGGAAATTTAATATGTGATTTCTGATTTTAAAAAAACAACTCTCAGTGCAGTAGGGCTGGAAGCGTTGGAAATGCCTTAGCTTGTCAAACTGTTATCTGCTAGGATTCTATAATAGACCTTAAGGATATGAAGCATTAAAAGATTTTTCATTAAAGTCTGGGACAAGTAGGGAACTCCAGTCTCATCCCTTTTACCTATTGCCTTGCAGAGCCCAGCCAGTGCAGGGAGGTGTTTTTTTTAGGTAGGAATTATAAACATTGAGGCAACAACTATCTCTAGAGGCAGAAAAGATTATTTACCTAGAAAACTCAGAGAAGTTAGAACTATTAGAACTAATAAGGGAGTAAAGTGGCTGGATATAAACCCAGCATTTTAAAACCAGTAGCTTCTTATATGTCAGCAGTAACCAATTAGTAAGTCTAACAAGGGAAATTTACATTAGCAACAATTATGAGAAAACATTGAAGGGATAAATTTAGCAAAAAATGTGAAAGTTTAAAGTGAAGAAAACTGTGAAACTTAAAGATGTAAGAAAAAGAACAAAAAATAAAAATGGGGAGTATACTAAGGTTATATTGAATATTTAAAAGGTATCAGTTGTCCCTAAATTAACCTATGACTTTCATTCAATCTTCATTCAAAAATTCCATTAATAATTTTAAATATAACTTAATATATCCTGAAATTCATCTAGAAGAGTGTAAGAATACTGAATAAAATTTTACGAATAGAACAATAAAGAGGGAAGAACTTGCCCTATCAAATATCAAACCTTACTTACCATTATATTAAGACACTTGGAGAATACTGTGTAATGCCCCTTGCATGTACTTTATACAAAAATAAATCTTAGGTGATTCAAAATCCTAAAAATATAAATTAATTATAGTTGTATTAGAGAAAAGTATAGAATAATATATGTACACACACATATGTACACACATGTATATGTATACATACATGTATACGTGCATGCATATAATATAATTTGGGGATAGAGAAGGTATGAAATTAGAAGCCATAAAGGAGAAAATTTTAAGACATTATTACCATATTACAGTGTAAGATCTTGTCGGTAGTGCAAAACTCTATAAGCAAAGTTAGAAAACAAACAGTCTGGGAGAAAATATTTTCTACAAATAAAACAGATGAAAGGATTATATCCATCGTCTATAAAGAGTTCTTTCTATAAAGAATTCTTACAAATGAATAAGCAACAAAATCCATTTAAAAAGAAGCAAAAGATATGAAGAGGGTGGTATACAGGAGAAGAAATGGATCCAATGGACATGTGAGATGCTCAGTCTCACTAGTAACAAGGAAATGTAAATTCAACAATAGTGATATTTGTATATATCAGATTGGCAACATTTTAAAAATTAATATTTCATTGTACAAAACTGCACTCTTAGAAATGTTGGTACAACTATAAATAGATAAGATTCAGCAATGCTTTTAGAAATATAAAATATACATGTCTTTTGCATGAACAGTCTCACTTCTAGACATCCCTTCTATAAAAATACTCACATACCTAAAAATCCTTCTATTGGGGAATGATTAAGTAAATTGTTACATATCCAAGCTATGGAATACTACTCACCCTTTAAAAAGAACACAGTAGTTCTGTTTGTACTAACATGGGAAATTGCATATGGTATACTGGTATATTGAAAAAGTAATTTAAGATCTGTGGGTAGAATAATCCTATTTGGGTTAAATCATTTATATGTAAAAACCAAGGATTGAGAGGTTCACACCAAGCAGTTAAGGGTGGTCTCCTCTGGGAAGAGCAGCAAGGTAGATTGGGGGCAAGGGAGACACATTTCTGCATTTGTTGAAATTTTGCAATGAACATCTTTGGTAATTTAAAAAAATTAATGTAGGGCTTCCCTGGTGGCACAGTGGTTGAGAGTCCGCCTGCCGATGCAGGGGACACGGGTTCGTGCCCCGGTCCGGGAAGATCCCACATGCCGCAGAGTGGCTGGGCCCGTGAGCCATGGCCTCTGAGCCTGTGCGTCCGGATCCTGTGCTCCGCAACGGGAGAGGTCACAATAGTGAGAGGCCCGCGTATCGGGAAAAAAAAAAAAAAAAAAAAAAAAATTAATGTAATGATGCATTCTTAACTTGAAAATTCTTATATTAAAAAATTGCAAATCCACAAAAGGTAGGACAAAATAATAAAGATCTTCCTCCCTGTTACTCAGTGATACTGTGGACATTTAGGAATAAAGGGGGAAAAATGAGTCCAGCAGAGTTAATACAGTAGAAAATATAGACAAACAAGATGATGCAAGGGTATCTTGGGAGAAAAGAGACCCGGCTGTGTTTCTCATGTCCTTTGCTGGTTGCTCTGTGATGCTGGGGAAGCTATTGAAAGCCATTGACTCGTCTGTGGTCCAGTTAGGTTTTCTCTGTGCTGCAGGTAGGGCTGACCTACTTCCATTGGGAGAAAGGGCTCGAGAGAAAGAATGCAGATAAAGCTTCTGCCTAAATGTGAAGTGTTATTGTTAGAATGTTCATGAATGAATGTCAGCGCCCAGCATCTCAGAGGGCCCCCATTAAATGAGGAGTATTCTTTGTAGAAGCAGAACTCTGAAGTAGGCACCACCGTGAGGAGTGGGGTGGGGATAAGATAGAGAAAACATGAAAGACCATGTGGTCTGGTAGAGGAGGGGGTGTGTGTGTGTAAACCTTAACATGTATCAATCAGTAAAGGGGATTTAAATACAACATAATTAACAGAATACTGAAGTACTAGGGAAGAACTTGAAGTAACTTTGAGCAATTAGATTTGGGAAATATTAATTAAGACATGCTTCCAGAGGGGAGCAGAGGATGTATCTACCTGTGGGTGTGTGTATGTGATGCGGGGGTGACACATGGGGCGTGGTGGTTGAACTGAGAGGGCATTGGGTAGCTTTATTATTAAGTTCAAAGAGAGTTTCTAAAGGGAAAGTAAAATACCCGTTTGACTCAGATAGGGTCCATTTTCTAAGGCAATGTCGAGAGGCACAAGATCAAATTTAGCTTGACCCCATCCAGTGCAGAACTCAGCAGCCTCTAGAAGCTGGAGCTGAACTGAACGTGGCTAATGAGAAATCTCCATCCTCTGCCAATGCCTTGGGACCCATCTCTTCCTCTTTGGCAAGCAGGATACAAAGAGAGCTCAAAGCAGAGTGGGGACCAAAAGGTCCCCAGAATGTTCATTCTGCAAGCTCCCCACCAGGCCTTTCCGGAAAACAGACGAGCCTGGTTTCACAGGTTAGCCAGAAAGCAAGTCGATGGCTTTGCCCTTCAACCCGGGGTAGTTTCTAATGGCACCTACAGGATACTCCGCATGGCGTCCAGCCTTCAGCAGTGAGGGAGAAGAGGACATGTGCTAAGCCGAGCTGAGCTGTATCCTCTCATTTATTCTCTAGGCGTGAAAGGGGTGATTGTAAAATTCAAATGGAACTAGAAGTTGAGGTTCAGAGCTCCCCACATAAACGCTGCAGTCTGTTATTCCGAAATGCAGTCCACCCTCTTTCGAGGACCTTTGTGCGTTTCCGTGGTTTGGTTTGCAGAACCGTCAAGTGGAAGTTAGATCATCTCCGTTGCATCCTTTCCGTTTTGCTCAGTATTCCTTGAATGCACACATGGGTTAGCACCACAGCCTGGTAGCTCATCTCCTGTCTCCAGTCCTGCCCCCTTCAGTTCACTCCTCACACTTCTTTCCACACTTCAGCTCTGCTTCTCACTTCAGTGCTCAGAACCCCTCAGTGACATTCAAGGCCTTTTATAACATCCCTACTGCCCACCTTCCTTGACCACGTCTCTTGCATTTATGCCTCTCTCCTTTCCGTCTTGTGTTCTGATACAGCTACCCAAGACTACTTGTGGTTCCTCAAAAATACAACCCTCTGTCTTGTATCTGTCCCTGGATTACCGTTTTTGCTAATTACTGTGTGTCTCAGGACGCCGCTATACCAAGCATCTTCTCTAGGAGTGTCCCCTAACCTGCTTCGGGTTATGTCCTTTCCCCCCACACTCTGGAAGCACGTGTGGTTTCCTTTCATCCCTTCATTATATCTCACTGGCTAGTTTTGGTCTGATTCCCTGACTCACCTGGAAAACACCTTAAAGGTAAAAAAGAGTACCTGACACATAGTTGGTGCTTCATGAATATGTTGTAGGACGGAATGAATGCATGTATTTTTTAATTTAGTTTGTGAATATGTGTACGTGGGTCCTTGTTTTCCCTGATCTGACATGAGTAAAGCCATTCAGCCTGCTGTGCCTCAGGAACGATGTTAGAGTCACATTTAAGTAAGTTTAAGACTCTTGCCCTCATCCTCATACTTGAGCATCATCAAGTAGCTGTCTCCTGGGCCTCCATAGAGTGTGCATGAATTAAAACTCCTGTGTTGTTCCAGGCCAGCTGTTGCCAGCCAACCGCAATACTCCGAGCCCCATTGACCCTGACACCATCCAGGTCCCGGTGGGCTATGAGCCAGACCCGGCCGACCTTGCCCTCTCCAGCATCCCCGGGCAGGAAATGTTTGACCCTCGCAAACGCAAGTTCTCTGAGGAAGAACTGAAGCCACAGCCCATGATTAAGAAAGCTCGCAAAGTCTTCATCCCAGATGATCTGAAGGTAAATTGGAACTGGTAATTAGGCTGTGGGCAAGTGGAGAGTGGGATCAAGAGGCAGATTAAAAGGGTGACCCCAGGAAAATCACACAAGCTAGTGAACAAAGACTTGTGATTTCTGATCCCATTTCTTGGCACGTGACGAGGCAAGTTGCTTCCTCTCTGGGTGTCTTCTGAACTATGCCTTCCATGTCTTGGTAATGCATAGATATAAGGAAAAGCAATAAAATGGAGTGCTTTGCAGCCCATGAAGGAAGCAAACCCACTACTATCTGCAAGGAAACCTATGAAAGCCTAATAAAATCAAACCAGGATCTTTCAAGGTTGAAAAGAGAAAAAAAAAAAATTATTGGGGAAGGGCATCTGGACCTCATAGTCTCCAAGGGTTCCCTTTCCTTTGGGAATTTAACACTAATTAACTGCTTCCATTTCTCTGTAGGCCTCAGGGAGTAACAGCCAGAGACAGGACCTCTCTCCACATTGCCAGCCTTGGATGCTAGGGTGGGACTTTTAAGGAAGCTGGTGGGTTTCCTGACACTATTTATAAGTAATATTCACTCTGTGTCTCAAGTAAAGATCACTTGAGTATCTCAACAAAAGGTTAATTTGGGGTTGGTTTTTCTCTACTGTGTTGAAGGCACACATTATTTATAAAGGAAAATAGCCTTACCTTAGGAAATCAGATACAACTTAAAATTAATCTGACACATTTAACGATACCTTAGGAAGAGAATTCTTTCTAAACTTACGCCACGCCTACCAATACCAAAATAGAACCATTTTTGATTACCCATTGCTTAGAATTTTTTGTGTTTATGTTGCTTTCCAATCATATGGACAATAGAGATATGATTGTATACATTCAAGGCATTGGAAGCAGACATAATTTTCTAACTGCTGACCACCATTTCTCAAACCTAAATGTGGTTCACATGAAGAGACACTCCTGTTGGGAAAATGGGAGTTTGGGACATTGTCCTGGAACTGATTTAGACCATTTACTTCTGCTTTTCACATATACAAAGAGCACTGGAGGAAAATGTACCCGGCAGATTTAAGTCACTGCTGTCATCCAATACCTCAGATTACCTTCAGTGATGCAGAATCATAAAATGTCCGGGTTTTGGGACTTCCCTGGTGGTGCAGTGGTTAAGAATCCACCAGCCAATGCAGAGGACATGGGTTCGAGCCCTGGTCCGGGAAGATCCTACATGCCGCGGAGCAACTGTGCCTGTGCACCACAACTACTGAGCCTGCACTCTGGAGCCCGCGAGCCACAACTACTGAGCCCGTGTGCCACAACTACTGAAGCCCACATGTCTAAAGCCCATGCTCCACAACAAGAGAAGCCACCATAAGGAGAAGCCCTCTCACCACAACGAAGAGTAGTAGCCCCCGCTCGCTGCAACTAGAGAAAGCCCGCATGCAGCAACAAAGACATAATGTAGCCAAAAATAAATAAATAAATAAATTTATTAAAAAATAAAATGTCGGGTTTTAAAAGGGACCTCAGAGATTCACTGGACCAAAGTGATCATTTTACCACTGAGGAAATGGAGACACAGAAAGGTAGAGGTGAGCACTGCTAGTTAGTGTAAGGCCCAGCTTCGTCCCCAAGTCGGCTAGCTTCCAGAAAGGTCACTGAAGCACGTTGGCCCTGACAGGAGCTACATCGGGAGCCTTTGGGTGACAAACCAATAGCTGTCACCCTGAGAATCAAAAGAGGAAAGTGCATAGTAAAAACACCAGAAAATTGAAGCTAGTCAGGGAATCGATGGTTAGACTGAGATGGGGTAAGAAAGGGGCCCCATGGGATTAGGTCCTGGGTGATTAGGCATCTTCTTTCAGCTCATGCTTTTCTTCATCTTGTGTTCTTAGCCATACAGTTCTGTGTGCATTTTGGAACTTGCCTCTTAAACTAAACAGGGGAGCCCATTCAGTAGGGATTTCCTCTTGAATGGAGGCAAGTTTGAAGGGATGCTGCTGAGTAGTAGATACAACTTCCAGCCAGACCTGCACATGGTCTCCAAATTTACAAATTTAAAGCAAAGAGCAAGCTTACTTAATTACCCTGGTAACCTCAGCAACAGAGGCCACGTGAAAAACGTCTGTGCTGGAATTATGCATGTCACTGCCACTGTGGCTGGGCCTGGCCTTCTCACGTGCCAGTGAGGGGAGCAGGCAGGAACACTGTCCTGCCAGGTGTCCCTGGATTCCTTCAGTTGTGAGTAAAGTCTCAGGCCCCAGAGCATGAGCAGTGGTGAAGCAAGAAGCAGAGCTGTAAGATGTTTCTCGTGTGGCAGGAGGACTGAGCTGGGTGGGGCAGGTGACCTCCAGCCCTGGATGAGCAGACCGAGTGAGTGAAGTGGCCCTCCCTGCCACTGCCTGCACTCTCTCTCTGGAGCCATTCATTTGGGTTAGCGGGCAGCCCCAGGAGGATGAAGGGGTGGCATACTGATTCCTAGCTGAGAGTCAGTTTAATCGCCTTGGTGTCTTTCAAACACCCATTCATTCACTTGATAAATATTTTTCAAATGCTAGTGTCTGCCAGGTCCGATGTCAGGGCCTGGGGATTCCAAGGTGAGCCACTACTGACATTGTTCCTGCCCCCAAATGAGAAAAAGGGAGTGTTGACATGTCAGGCGGGGCCTGCTGGGCAGAGGTGTCATCAAACACCAGACCCTCAAGAAGATGGGACTGGACTGAGGAGTTCTTTGCCAGGTAGGGGTATCTCCGTAGCCAGATGGCATCTGCCCCTGGGAGATAGAGGGAAAGGGTACAGGTGATGTATCAGCCCCACTCAATATCCCGCTCTCCCCGCCCCCCATTTCTGTGCTGACAAAGGTGGGAAAGCTGGTTTTTCTTGTCTGGGACAGTCCTCCTATCATGCCTGCCTTCTGCAGCCTCTGCTCCAGTCCTATTCCCAGCTCCCCTCCCACCTGAGATGGTCCCCATTCCACACCTTGCCCAGCTCATCTGCACATGTGGACAGGTGAGGCTGGGAAATGAAAGCACCTTAGAAGTGAGAAGAGCTCAGAAACTGGTTGCTACACTGAGGTCAGCTGGTGACTCCCCTGGTCCTTAAGACCTGGTCACAAACCACCAAGTCCATGGCCTACGGTGGTACCGCTTCCCCATCCTCCTGCGCGCCGCACACAGCTTCTCCTTGTTCTCACGTAACCCTTCTCTCCCTGGCCCCTGTGTGCAGGTTCGGATACATCCTAAGCCAACCCCTCTTTCCAATCATCTTGGAAACTACACTCCTGGGAACACTAATGAGTATGGTAGATTCACTGATTGACCAAGGGGGTGGAATTGGGGCTTCCAAAGTAACGCAGACAACGTCCATCAGAGCTGGAGCTTTCACTGTTGTTAATGTGCCTTAGGCTGTCTCACCCCTGTGGAGTCTTGTGCTCTCTTAGCTCCTCCCAGCTTCTCTGGGCCAGCGCCCTAGTCTCTCACCCCTTCCTCCCGCCTCTGCACCCTTTCTGAAGGAAAGCAACAAATCCTGCCGCAAGCTTAATTATCCAGGTATTTTCCAAAGGACAGCCTCCTCTCTAAGAAGAATTCTGGTACTAGCTATTATGAAGATCACCTTTTTCACTTTGTTACACATTATGATGAAATGTATAGCAAGCTGGGAGTGGTTTATAAATAAGAGAACAGTACTAGCCTGTGAAGGGCAGATAGAAGGTGCTTGCATATGCTTTCTGTCTCACACTTCCTGTCTTTGTGCTGGGCAAGTGTTGGCTCAGGATAAATGGCAGGGATGGCACAGACCACTGACTTTGGACTTTGCTCGCAGCCTTGGCCTCAAACCATGTGACCTCCTCCAGTGCCAAATGCCTCTTGGAATCCTGGGGGAGGGGAAGAACTGGCTCACTCACGTATTCTGGGTGGCACATAACTGCAGGTATTAGCTTTGCTAGGATTGAGGAATTTACTGTTGCAAGTTGTTGAAAAAAGGGGGTTGCAAAACCCACCAGGTGGCACCATAAATGGAAGAAGACTTACATTTCTTAGTCCTCCTAGGAAGGTTTTCCCTTTTTTGGCAGTGATGGTGCGGGGGGGGGGGGGGGGGGGGGGGGGGGGGGGGGGGG